GCTCTTGTTCAGGCTGGTCTCGAACTCCTGAGCTCAAATGATCCACCCGCCTCGGCCTCCCAGAGTGCTAGGATTACAGGCATGAGCCACCATGCCCAGCCTATTTTTCTTTATAGAGGTACTCAAGTTAAAAGGAAAGGATTTCAACATGAGACACAAAACAACAACAAAAAAAACACCCAAAGACAACTGATAAAATTACATTAAAATTAAGATTTTCTGTTTATCCAGAAAAGTCAAAAAAACGCTGAAAAGTGAGAAGTAGAGAGAAGGTATTTGCAACACATAAAACTGAGAAAGGATAAGCATTTAGGATACAGTAAGAACTATGAATCAGAAAGCAATGACTTAATGGAAAGTGAGCAAAAGACATGGACAGACAGTCCATAAACATGGGAATTCGAATTACTAAAATAGAAGAAAAGATGTTCAACCTCATAAGTAATCAAGGAAATACACATTAAAGCCACATTGAGACAGTGGCTTTAACGTGTCTCACACCCACCAGATTGGTGAAACTTAATCTGACAACATCAAGTGTTAGCAAGGACATGAGCAACAGGAATTCTGACACACTGCTAGCGATAAATGTAAACTGTTATAAATCACTTTGAAAAACAACATGACACGGTATGACATTACCTAGAAGAGGTGATCATATATACATAACTCTAAATAATCCACCAATTCCGTTCACTGGGTATGTACCCTGATTATTAGAAAAATTTTGCCTGTGTGTATCAAGAAACAAGAATTTTCATAGCAGCATTTTTTGTAATCATAAAAATCTGGAAACAACATAAATGTCCGTCAATAGTAAAATGGATAGAGAAATAATCATTCATTGGAATACTATTAATTAGTACTTAGATGCATCAAGATGTATGACTCTCAAACATTTTGATGAAAAGTCACAAAAGAATATGTACATTTTGGTTCTGTTTATATAAAATTTGAAAGATGGAAAACCTAAACAATTTGTTTAGTGATACACACAGGAAATGGTAACAGCAAGTTCAGGAAAGTGACTATCTCAGGTGGTGAAGAGGGAGGTGTGATCAGGTGGGGCACGCACGGCTTCTAAGGTTCTGGTGATGCCG